GGTGGTACATCGATTTTATTGATACCACAACGATTGTTATCCAGGCCTCTGAGAGGTTGAGACCGGAGAAGGCCATCGGTGAAGGACATTCCCCTAGAATGTAAGACGGCAATACCAGTTTACTTGCCCTAGTTAGGCATACGCACCCGACGCGACATCGAGGAGAAAGGAAATTCATATAGTTTGCCGCCCTAACATGGGCACTAGTTATGAGCCATACGTGTGTCGCAAAAAGTTTTGCTGTTGTATTGTGTAAGTGCGAAGGGTTTGGGTCCTCAATGGGTCATCCCTAGTCTCTATGTGACTTTTAATATTTGAACTCCAGATATTAACGTTTAGCTAATAGTTTTACCCTGGGGGATTTACTGAAGAGACGAACCCCTCGCATCTGCCTCATGCAACGGCGTAAGCATAAGCGAAACATGTACATAGACTATGTTTGGTGTGCGAAAAAAAAACCACCGTCATATAAAATAATAGGAATAGAATGGTCATTATGCGATTATTCTTTAGAAATTGACAGTCTTTGACTCAATTTGCCATTTTGGGGCTGATCCTAGAGTCGTTTTAAGGGATATTTTATTCCAAGTTCTTGGTTCAACGATCGGTAAGGTTGTTGTGTCAGCTCCGTTGACCAGCAAAGCTCAGAAACATCAAAAAGGCGAACTACTGATTTAGGAGTGGCTGAATGCGATTGGAAGCAATTGGAATAGCGACAATTCAGACGAACATCCGAGGAGATCTGGGAATGAAACTTCAGCCATTTGACTGATGACCATGACTGAATGAATAATGACAAACAACTTAGAGGCAGCAACCCTCGAAACCAATTAAGGCTAACAAAAATAAGCTTAAACTTTAGATCAGCTGAAGCAGGTCAACAACAGCCAAATGAGTCTTCATATTGCAAGTGAAGGATTGCTAGTTCTTACCCAAAATGACTAACTTGCGACCTTTCTTACGTTTTTGGGAGTATTAATTTTGGGTTTTTTTTTCACATGGAGCTCATATTCTCAAGTTCCGCCGCATGGGCATTTCCAAGTAGTTGGGCGTAGACGTAAAAGTCGGTTTGACAAGTTCAAAAACGGCAATAAACAGAAACAAGGGTTTTCAGAAAAATCACATTTGAAGGAGAAGACAACAAAAACCTACCATGCTTGGTGCGACGAAAAGTATATCGTTGTCTCCATTGCGTAGACCATCACCCGCAACACCGGCCAAAACAGTAGATCTAAAGAACACAAAATTGTTAACTCAAAAAGCCTATTCAGGTAGGGAGGGAAGGAGAATATGAGCTCTCTGCTGAAACTACCATTTCAAACGTTTCAGCCAACGAAT